TGCCAGCACAGTTATTCTGTCCTTGGTTTCCTTAATTCCTGTAGCCGCTGTCTCATCAGATGTAGTCAGTGTCTTTCTAGGGCAATAAAACCAAAACAGTGATGTTTCACCAGCATTTTAGACTTGTTCTGGTGTCAGATTTTCATCAGCAATGACTCTGGTAAACTCACCAATGAATTTTTCCACTGCTTTGTGATAAGCAGATGTTTTATCACCACAAATCCATTGGAAAATTTCATGCTATGTCTTTTCTTAAATTTCTATAACCAGTGTGTTGAATATTCATAGTTCCCTTTAATTTTCATTTTATCTTGATAGAGTTTTGCTTGTTTTATGACCAGCATAGCATTAAGTGACATGTGTTCACTGAGATACTGATGGATCCTTACTTAACTACATGACCAAGATCTTCATTTTTAGTTTTATGCAGTGTTTTTCTATTTCTATTCACTTTTGTTCATCACTCTCAGCACAAAAACTTCACCAGATTCTCCTTCTGTTTCTTCAGGTCGTATATTGTAGTCATTTCAACACTATATGTAAGGCCTTTCACACTTACATCACTGTCCAGTTTCTCTAACAGCTTGACTTTCTATGCTACAGAAAAACATAAATACTTCCTCTTTTTATTTTATCACTGTTACTCGTAGGGGTATCTGCTGGCCTTTTGGACATTTTTAACAAAATCTTTATACCACAGAGCAGAAAATAAGCGCGCACACACACACACACACACACACACACACACACACACACACAGTGAGTAAGGCACATAGCTCTTGACCCCATGTGGGGCATCACTGAGAACCTGTCATTGGCTTGTCTGGCCCGCACACACACTATTTTATTATCCTTTGTGGGCATGCTTGTGTGAGGTGATCTGGTTGTGTTTGGAAAAGAGATATGACAGCTGAAGAAGGCTTGGAGGGTCTTTTTCCCTTGGGGGCACTGAATAAACTGTGTATTATTTGTCTGCATTTTGACTACGACTTGTCATCACATAAGGTCAGATGCTGAATTTTCCATTTGTGGCATCAAACTCAAAAAGTTTTGGAGGCCAGCTGCAATGGCTCATGCCTGTAATCCCAGCACTCTGGGAGGCTGAGGCAGGAGGATTGCTTGGGGCTAGGAGTTCAAGATCAGCCTAGGCAATAGTTCAAGACACTGACTCTACAAAAAAATAAGAAATATTAGCTGGGTGTGGTGGCATGCGCCTATAATTCCAGCTACTTAGGAGGCTGAAGTGGAAGGACTGCTGGAGCCAGAGAGTTGTGACGCTTGCGTATGTGAGCTGTGCAGGCCGACTAATGAGCCAGGGGTAACAAGTAGAGGTAGATTCCTGTCCTCTAAAAGAAATTATAGCTAGTAGAGAAATAAAATAAAAGCAGATTTCATCAGATTTTACTCCCTAGAGACGGATATCCATTTTAGGGAGAATGGGCTGCTTACGTATGTAATATAACAAAAAAGTATGCGACAAGGCCAGCGCGAGAGGTAAGCTGAGGCACATCCCCGTCTCACAAAAAAACAAATAAAGCAACTTCCCCAACTGGAGAGTGCAAGAGGAGGCGGGCAGTCACTTGCTTAGTCTGGGAGGTAACAGAGTCGAAACCTAGCTCGAACATCCAAGAGCGATGATTCGAAGAGAATACTTTAAACTGTGGACAACTTAACCATAAGAGAAAAATTAGCGGAATGGGTGAGCATGTCTGTTAGTACAGCTACTCGGCTCATCTTAAGGCAGAATGATGATTAGCCAGGAATTTGTATGATTATCAAGTTGAAACTCATAAGGCTGACAGGCATATGTCCATACTTCTACGAATCTAACCAGAGAAAATAGCAAGACTCTCTGCTATCAAATAATATAAAAAAAAAAAAATGTAATGAGAGAAAGAGAAATAAGAAAAACACAGAGTGAGAAAAAGAGACTTGAGCTAGCACATAAGGATGTTCGCTCCTTATGCCGTTATCATGTGAATTCACAGAGCTAGAGCCCATCCTGAGGCATAGAAAACCCAGAATATCAACAACGGCCTTCACATTTGAAATATCTTGCAGACCCTTCATACCTTATGTGACTTCCTAAGATCCGTATAAAGAATAAATCATTAGGAAAAAAATGGTGGCTGGTGCAAGAGACGACGATGTAATCCCTAGCATCTAGCGGGCAGGGAGTGCGCGAGAGGTGCGAGAGTTGCTCGAAACCAAGCCTGAGCAAGGAGAAGACCCCCGTCTCTACATAAATAGGAAGAAAATTAAATTGCCAGACTCAATAGTATATACACAAAAATTAGCCAAGAATGGTGGCAAAATGCCTGAGTCCAGCCACTCGGAGGCTGAAGCATAAGCAATAGGGATTGCTAGGGACCCCCTCCCAAGGAGGTTGAGGTGCCTGTGAGCTAGGCTGACGCACGGCAACTCACTTCTAGCCCTGGGCGACCAAAGTGAAGACTCTGTACTCAAAAAAACATTTTGGAGTAGCAATGCTCTACCTGTGTATGTTCTTTTTGTTGGTTGTTCGTGGTATTGTATCCACCAGACAGCTGACCTCTTAGATTGAACCCAAGAATGAATCAGATTCAGTATTGTTCAGTCCAGGAGAGGACATGTTGTGGCAGTAGACCGTTTAGCCCAAGATCAACAAAATGAGAATTAACTAGTTACCTCAGACTAAATGGACTAAATAAACAGTCTGATTTAATTATGATTAATGGCCTATTTCCCAAGGATATTAAAAACAAAAACCTCATTTCTTTATTCTTAATGTATTGCCAACTCTCAGTTTAACAGATTAAAATCAGAATGAAACTCTCTTTAAATTGTTCTGACTGAACCCTCAGAACTAGAAAGAAAAGAATCCTTAATATAGATCATAAACTTATAAAGCATCAGGCCAATTTAAAAATAGTAATTCTATAAAATGTAACAACATATATGGGTTGGCCTTGTTCTATAAAATGATAAAAATGGCTAATTATTTAGGTAGTGTGCATTAACTAAATTTCTTTTTTTTTTTTTTTTTGTGAGATAGAGTCTCACTCTGCTGCCCGGGCTAGAGTGCTGTGGCATCAGCCTAGCTAACAGCAACCTCAAACTCCTGGGCTCAAGCGATCCTCCTGCCTCAGCCTCCTGAGTAGCTGGGATTACAGGCATGTGCCACCATGCCCGGCTAAATAAATATATATATAAAAAAATATATATTTTTTTATATATATATTTATATCTATATATATTTATACACACACACACACACTTTTAGTTATTTAGCTAATTTCTTTCTATTTTTTTAGTAGAGACAGAGTCTCACTGTTGCTCAGGCTGGTCTCGAACTCCTGAGCTCAAACAGTCCACCCTGCTAGGCCTCCCAGAGTGCTAGGATTATAGGCGTGAACCACCGCGCCCTGCCAGATTTCTTTATTTAATGACCATGTAGTTATTTATGTAGATTCAGTAAGAATATGTCCTTCTCCTTACAGATAAATCTTTGTATTTATAATTGACCACACCAAAAGTTTCATTTAATTAGGTGTGATAATCTCACTGTTAAGGAATAAGGACTACATTTCATGCGTAGAACTTATGTCTAAAAGGCCTCCCAGGAAAATGTGCTTCCTATGGCTAGGAAATTCCAGCCTTAAAGGTTGTAAAGACTGACTTCCTGGCAGATCAGGAGTATTAATAAACATGGGATCTCAGAAAAAGAGGATACCTGACAGCAAACCTAGAAGTGAATTAGGAGTTCCTCATCTAAATAGAACTAAAAAAGAAAATATTTCTAATACAAAAGTAAATTTTAACCCTAGGGCCTTTACAAAATCCTCTATGAACAGATAGAAATTACCTCTGAAGCTTGAATTTCACATGGCTCTGTGTTAACCATATAAAAGGAGTTTCTTTATGTATTAATCAACATCTTCTGTTAGCTTTGTAGATCATTTTGCCAAATAGCACAAAATATTAAACTAATGATACTAAATCACTAGCTTATTAAGCAAGTTATGTGACTGAAACTGTCCTTAACGGTGGTGGTGGGGGGTACCTGTCCACAAGGAGAGACCATGGAAACAACTGCCACGTTGTCTTGCTTCTAATATCACTAAATACTCCACATCCCACAGTAAAAAAAAAAAGAAGAAAATAGAACATAAACACCAAATAAAAATCTACATTGTACCCTGAGATGTCACAAAAATAACCTGAGTTACCCTGATGGTTCTGGTCTCCCAAATGATAAAATCTAGACTATTTTTCAAAAACTTGGACTCCTGAACAGAATTTTTTTATCCCTAATCTTTGTTATGCTGATGTCTAAAGATAATTATGACCTTTATGGATCTGATAATCTTGTGAGAAAGTTGCTGTTTTCTCATTATACAAATCCATGTAAACTTGGTAACTTTGGTAGTTTTGTGTTTTTCTATCCTTTAAAATACCTGTTGTGTTTTGTATTTGGTGACTTCTTTGTATTCTTGGCAAGTAAAGTTTTCTTGTCTAAATGCTTCCATTTTTGAGTCTTCATTGACATTAGTTATTGGCACAGATGTAAATAATAAATATTCTTTGGATGAATGAATAAATGAAGAGCTAAACTTTGGTGTGATTTGTAGATATCCAAGAAGAGTCCAGAAAGGGTATTTGGAAAAGCTTCTGTCTCAAAACAACCCACACTAAACATTTCCTTATACATAATATAATGGGTAGATTTTTTCAAATAATCCTAAAAATTTTTTTCTCCTGATTTAACTTGAGGTCAAACTCCTTTTACAAAAACTGAGATAAGTAAGAATGATATGGTTTGTTTATCTCTTCAGCTCCTAGACTCTTATGTGTAAATAATCAAAATTCTGTGTGATGAGTGAGCATGATACACATGAAACTGGGGGTTTATCTTTTGAAAAGTCATTATTTACATTGCCAATCCATTCAAAACCAGGATGTTTCTCTTAGGACATATATTTTTAATTCATTAAAGAGATATAAAAATAAATACTACTTACTGGATCAAAGACCAACATCCTGCAAAGGAGATGAACAGCTTCATGTGTAGCCTGGCTAGACAGGGTATAGAGTACAGGAAGAGATGGCTGTGAAAAAATTAAAATATTTAAGTAAGTCTTTGTGTAGTCATGGAATATAACCAATTTAAGATAAGGTAAGTACTCAGCTAAAAAGAAAATGTTGCACGTAAGTCTAAATTTAAGGGGAACAAGTTTTCCCCTCATTAACCAGTCTTGGGAAGGCTTGAGAAAACCAAATGAGTGCATGTTAAGACTACTTAAAATTTTAAATGTCTCCCTCCACCAAATTTCCCCTTTGTTTACAGAAGTACACCCTAACAAATACACTAAAAATAAAGCTGTCAGTTTGAGTTAGAACAGCCATATGATATGCTTTCTCCTTTTCTGTTTATATGTGTGTTAGAAACACAGAAAAAAAGGAGTCAGTTCATTCATGCCAATACTTCTTCAGAAAGGTAGCCATTAATAATTTAGTTTCTAGCACTGGCTCCACAGGAAAGATGCAATACTATGGATGCTGCATTTTTTTTTTTTCTTTTTTTTTAAAAAGCCTGATTTTTCTCTATAGATGCTGCATTTCTAATTTCACTTTCTTCCCTCTAATTCACCAGCCATTATGGTTAAAGCCAATTGGGCCCAGTATACCAGCAACAGATAAGAAGTTTATTTTTCTTATAAGTGCAATGGAATCAATAGGAATGAGAAAAAATAGAATGCTTAGAAATATGCCCTAAACATCTCATTTGGAAATGTTTTTGCCAATTCTCCCAACATTCACACATGTTAATTTCCCCGTTTAAAATAAACCGCTCCATTTTCTGTTTGTTTGTAAGTTCTGCAAGTTTGTAAGTCACTTAGCAATGTGGGAGTGGGGGCCACTGCTGAGTCATGAGGACAGGAGGGGTATAAAGAGTGCTCTATTAATGACTATGATTAATAGTCAGTGAAATAAAGCAAGGATGAGCTCCTGGACTTGAGTGAGAGGCCCTAAGTGATATGCCACAGTCATCATAAGCTAACTGTAGGGCTAGTTGCTGCAGCAGAGTTGGCCAGACTGTGCAAGTGTCCTGAGCAGACACGTTCCTATTAGTTTTCATCCAACTACATATAATTTTTAGACTTTACACTTGATGTAGTAATCTGTGACTTTAAAAGATAGTATATTAGGCTGGGCGTGGTGGCTCATGCCTGTAATCCTAGCACTCTGGGAGGCCGGAGGCGGGCGGATTCCTCGAGGTCAGAAGTTCAAAAACAGCCTGAGCAAGAGTGAGACCCCATTTCTACTATAAATAGAAAGAAATTAATTGGCCAACTAATATATATAGAAAAAATGAGCCGGGCATGGTGGCACATGCCTGTAGTACCAGCTACTCGGGAGGCTGAGGCAGCAGGATTGCCTGAGCCCAGGAGTTTGAGGTTGCTGTGAGCTAGGCTGACGCCAGGGCACTCACTCTAGCCTGAGCAACAAAGCGAGACTCTGTCTCAAAGAAAAAAAAGATAGTACATTAGGTTCTCCTTCTGCACATGTATACTGCTGACCTTTGAACAACACATGTTTCAACTGCATGGGATTGAAGTGGATTTTTTTCAATAAAAGTCATACCCAGTGTGCCTACCTCTTCTGCCTTCCCTTCTACCTCCTCTACCTCTTCTGCCTCTACCACCCTGAGACAGCAAGACTGACTCCTCCTCTTCCTCCTCCTCAGCCTACCCAATGTGAAGACAGTATGGATGAAAACCTTTCTGATGATCCACTTCTACTTAGTGAACAGCATATATAGTTTCCTTATGATTTTATTTATTTATTTATTTTCAGACAGACTCTTGCTGTTACTCAGGCTAGAGTAGAGTGCCATGGTGTCATTATGGCTCACTGCAACCTCAAACTCCTGGGCTCAATCGATCCTCCTGCCCTAGCCTCCTGAGTAGCAGGGACAACAGGCTCATACTACCATGCCCAGTTAATTTTTCTATTTTATGTAGAGACAGGGTCTCATTATGTTGCTCAGGCTAGTCTTAAACTACTGGCTTCACTTGATCCTTCTGCCTTGGCCTCCTCTAGCCTGCTAGGATGCTCACAGGTGTGAGCCATTGCATCCAGTTCCTTACGATTTTCTAAATAACATTTTCCTTTCTCCGGACTTACTTTATTGTAAGAATATAGTATATATAACATATAAAATATGTGTTAATTGACTCTTTATGTTATGGCTTTTGGTCAACAGTAAGCTATTGGTAATTAAGTTTTTGGGGAATCAAAGATTACATGTAAGCTGAGTGTGGTGGCTCAGACCTGTAATCCCAGCACTTTAGGAGGCTGAGGCAGGAGGATTGCTTGAGTCTAGGAGTTCAATATTAGCCTAGGCAACATAGTGAGACCCTGTCTCTACAAAAAAAAAAAGTTACATGCGGATTTTCAGCTGTGCAGGGGGTTAGCACCCCTTGCCACTGCATTATTCAAGGGTCAATTGCATTTTTGTTTTTTAATTAAATAAAAAGTCCCAATAAACAATAATACATATTTCTATTTGTACAAATATATGTAAATAAATGAAGAAAAAACATGTCTGGAAAGATGTTCTCAAATTAATTCAGAGGAGACTGGGACTGGGGGTGATAGTTGAGAATGACTTTAACTCCCTGTAAAATTTCCATTTTATTTTACATGTACTCACATATGACTTGCATATATACAAATGAAATTTTAATAAATCTGCTATGAGGTGTAGGTACCAGGCAGCGAATACTGGCTAAGAACACAGGTTTTGGAGTTAGAGAAACCTATTTTTGAGATCTGGTTTATGACCTCAAACACGTTATTTAACCTCTGTAATCTTCTATCCCCCATCTGTAAAAAGGAATAATAATGGGTACATTATAGTGTTGTTTTGAGAATTTAATGAGCTAATATATAATAAGTGTTTAGGACAATACCTAGTGTATAACAGACTTCTAATTATTAACAAAAAATGGTTATGTGCATCTACTTTGAATAGCTACTTAAATGAAAACTAGTTGAAAGCAGCTTAGTTTTTCTTTTTATAGTCCTAACTAAAAAATCTTGTATTGAATTTTTAGAAGTATTTCTCATGAATTTAAATCATCAGTTTAATATTCCTACATATTGAGTAATTGAGAATAAGCAGGCTGGGCATGGTGGCTCACGCCTGTAATCCTAGCACTCTGGGAGGCCGAGGCAGGCAGATTGTTTGAGCTCAGGAGCTCCAGGCCAGCCTGAGCAAGAGTGAGATCCCATCTCTACTAAAAATAGAAAGAAATTAGGTAGACAACTAAAAATACGTAGAAAAATTATAGTCCCAGCTATTTGGGAGGCTGAAGCAGGAGGACTGCTTGAGCATAGGAGTTTGAGGTTGCTGTGAGCTATGCTGACACCATGGCACTCCAGCCCAGGCAACACAATAAGACTCTGTTTCAAGACAAAAAACAAACAAACAAAAAAAAAAACAGAGAGAAGAGAGAGAGAGAGAGAGAGAGAGAGAGAGAGAGAGAAGAGAGAGAGAGAATAAGTATAGTAAGATATAACTTGCTATATCTGAAGACCTTCACTTAGCTAACTAAGCAGCATCACTGAGGATTACTAGTTTTTTGGTAAAAGTTAGAGACTCTTTGTTATTTTTATACACACACACACACACACACACACTCTTCTTCTTTGAGACGGGGTCTTGCTCTGTTGCCTGGCTAGAGTGCAGTGGCATCATCACAGCTCACTGCAACCTCAAATCCCTGGGCTCAAGTGATCCTCCTGCCTCAGCCTCCTGAGTAACTAGGACTACAGGCATGTGCTACCACATATGGCTAATTTTTTTTGTATTTTTTTGTAGAGGTAAGGTCTTGCTATATTGTTCAGGCTGGTCTTGAACCTCTGGCTGCAAACAACTTCCATCTCTACCTCCCAAAGTGTTAGGATTACTGTGCCCAGACTGAGGCTCTCTTTTTGTGCATACATTTTTATTTCATGTAAATAGTAAAGTGTTATACATCTCTTTCTGCTTACTCATAAGCTTAAAAGGAATTCATCTATAAGTTTTCTATAGGTTTTTGTAAAGATCTTATGTTAAGGAATAAAAAGGACTGAACCTTATCAAATGCCTTTTCTGCATTAATTGAGATAATCATGATTATTCTCACTTAAAATGTTAAAATATATGGATAGATTTTCTGTAGATGAACCATCTTTGCAGTCCTGGGATAAACCCTACTTGATATAATTTTCAAAAATTCACCAGCTCTACCCACTATAACTTTTTTGTTTGTTTGTTTGGAGACAGAGTCTCACTCTATTGCCTAGGCTAGAGTGCTGTGGCATCGACCTAGCTCACAGCAACCTCAAACTCCTGTGCTCAGGTGATCCTCCTGCTTCAGACTCCCTAGTAGCTGGATTTACAGGCACAAACCATCATGCCCAGCTAGTTTTTTTCTGTTTTTGGTAGAGACGGGGTCTTGCTCTTACCCATGCTGGTCTAGAACTCCTGAGCTCAAGCGATCCTCCCGCCTTGGCCTCCCAGAGTGCTAGGATTATAGGTGTAAGCCACTTTGCCCGGCCTAGAGTGATAACTTAGGCACTGTTCTATGCCCTCCTTACGCGCATTATTTATCATTATTACAATTTAACGAGCTACAAACCATCTTTAACCCTCATTTTACAGATGAATAAACTGAGATATACAGAGGTTAAATATAATAATTTGCCTAAAGTCACAAATGAGTTATTAGTAGAGTCAAGATTCATACTCAATTTGTCTGAAAACTGTATTGTACACTTCTTTGGACACCATCAACATGTTGTACAATGTGGTGAGCCTGCGACTGACAGCACAGCTGGCACTCTTAATTACTACCGTCCAGAGAAACATATAAGTATATACTCTGTGTAGAGCACTACGATAAACACTATATATTTTATAGAATAGTCATGATATATAGAACAATAAAGCTATATTGTATATCCCAGCGACATAATTAATCTTTTAAAGTTAAAAAAAAAATCCAGGTGGCTGGGCGTGGTGGCTCATGCCTGTAATCCTAGCATCCTAGGAGGCCAAGGCGGGAGAATCACTTGAGGTCAGGAGTTCAAGACCAGCCTGAGCAAGAGCAAGACCCCATCTCTATTAAAAAGTAGAAAGAAATTAACTAGGCAACTAAAAATAGAACAAATTAGCCAGGCGTGGCGGTGTGTGCCTGTAGTCCCAGCTACTCAGGAGGCTGAGGCAGGAGGATCACTTGAGCCCAGGAGTTGGAGGTTGCTGTGAGCTAGGCTGACGCCACAGCATGGAGCAAGACTCTGAATGAAAAAAAAAAAAAATCCAAGTGGCTACATATCAAATATATTTGTGAATAGGTATGTATGTGTCTTCCAATCTCAACTGTAAATAGCCACAATATGAATGGAGATATCTTCAAGCAGCTACTAATAGGCCAACAAGAGCACAGAGGATATGTATCATGAAATCAGGGAATGGGTAGGGAGTGGGAAGAGAAAAGGCAGAATCTGACTAGTGGGTTAAGAGCTTCAGGAACCTATTAACTTCTCTTGAGAGCAATGATCATACAAAGACTGAGTAGTAAATGTAGATAAAAAGCTGAATTTCCACACTGGAGGAAAAATGGAAGCAAGCAATATCCTAGGTTCATTCACATTCAATTATACATGGTAGGTATAAATTACTCTATATACATTTAGCTTGGATAGTGTTCAGAGGTCATGAACACATGTCTAAGGAGATCACTTCCAGCATTGGTTAAAAGCCATTTAAACACTTTAATGTCTGTGCAAAGTGTATCTAGCCTTTGAGCAGAAATGGTCTCCTAAGTAGCTTGCACCTTACCAGTCTTCTCTTCAATACCAAAATATTCTGACACCAAGACTTGCCAGGGCTACCCTTAACTTTTACCATGGTGCTCCCTTTAAAGCCATCACTAAACTTAGTGATAAGCAAAAATATTACTATTAAGAGGCCAATTCATGTAAAAATATATAAGAAAGGATTTTGTTACACATCTCAATCTATTTAAATAAAAGTGGAACTTTGGATTTACCTTTCCTTGCCCTTTTGTTTTAGAAAATAAACATTTACTATATTTATTTAATTAAAAGCTCTAGGTTTTTACAACCAACAGATTTTATGATTTCTAGTAGAAAAAGGACTCACTTGCTAGGAATGCTCAAAGCAGTGTTCAGTGACTTTTGGTGTAGTAAGTTACATTTTTGAACCGCCGTAGACAGCAGACAGGAAACTCGTCAGGAAGCCTTGTTTTCCAGGCTACTGTTTAATAACTCTTTGACATAGAGGATTAATTAGCTGGCAACCCTTAGCAATAGTTAAACTCCTCTAGAGATGTAAGGGTCGCACCAGAGTGTCTGATCTTAATCACTTTTCATTATTGGTTACCTCTAGCCAGGCAAGATTTGCTGACCTAATCAGGTCAGTAAAAGAGGAAAATTATTTTGCTACTTCTAAGGACACAGTTACCATGAGGTATTGACAAATTAATCTTCCCAATCCTGGCCAATAAATGGAACATAACAGATCTTGTTAGCTTCTTCTATAATATAGAAATTTCCTTTAGGTTAAAACTAACTACACTCTTCTTAGGGTGTTAGGGCCTCAAATTATTTTATAGTTTTAAACTAACTGCAACAGAAAGATGTGGGCATCAGAGTGCTATTTAAAATGCAAGCGTACATCTCTATTTACTAGCCTGGGCTTGTTTTAGAAGACAACACACATTAACATTGTCCTTTATGCTTGTGAAATAGATGCTCTGGAGTCACACTAGAATTACAGAGAGGAAACTGCAAGCGAAGGCAAGGCCTTGACCAAATGTCTTGCTGGTAGTATGAAAGGAGCATCAAACTCAGGCTGTCATTTGGTACCATCAATCTAAATGTCCAATTCAAAAGAAGGCAAGCCCAAGAAAATTAGTTCCCAGGTGGTCCTGTCTGAGCCTTATCTGTTCTGTTTTAGCTTGCTGTTCCTAGGAAAAGTATTCCCCTTACTCACTCTTGACATCATTAAGCTGTTTTGTCCAAAGGAGATTAGGAAGGTACTTGTAAAAAAATGCTGTTAAATCAACAGGTGGAGATAAAAACCATCTTGTCTTTCTCAGCAGTGACTTGGCTGGCTGCAAGTAATATTGATCAGTATAAATCTGGAAATCTCTCTTCATACTTCTTTTCTAACAACATTCACATCTGATTCTGTGTTTGTGGCAAGAGTGCAATAACAACAGCTTCACATTCCTGGCTGGAATAAGAGATACCAGGTGTTTTGGCTCAGTACTTGGAAAGGACATATTGATATACATGTACTAGGTTATGCCACTGAGGTCAAAGCTATGTCTCCAGTAACTTTTCCCATATACATCAATAAACCAGGAGATGCAAAGTCAGGAATCACTTATTAGCAAAGGGGCTGCAAAAATATGCACTTTCTTCTGTGGCATGGGGAATGAGAATATTTTATTTAGTTTGAGAAATATTGAACATTTTCTTACTTAGGACCATGACATAAAAAAATATACAAAACCAACATTTGCATCTTTGTCTAAAAACTTCAGTACATTATTGTATTGTAAGGGTAATCTTGCCCAAACAGATGGTTACTAGATATAGATCCCTTCCCCCTCCTTTTACCTGTTTATGAGGACCCCTGAGTATGTGTGCCTTAGCGCCTTCACAAGCCGTCCTCATTGCTTCCAGTGATGGTGTGCCCAACAGATCTGTGATCAAATCCAACTACAAGGAAACATAAAATCCAGATAAATAGTAAGCTCATGGAAACAACTTTTCATTACTCTTCAAGCACAGCCTTAGGGATGAGAACCAAATTTTGGGGAAAAACCTTACAATAAGCTCCAGATTAACTGACAGGAGCCCCTACTTTCACCTTCTGGCCTGTTTAAAAAAAAAAAGATTTATAGGAATTTATAAATTCCTTATTTAAAGAAATCTTACATATAAAATTCCTATTTATTATTCCTATTTATTAGGAATCCATATGATATAGATAGAAATATAGAAAATATATTTTGGCAAGCATTCTAAGGCTAGAGCAATTTACAAGTCTGCCTCTATCTGCCCTATTTTCTTGCTACTGTAGCATTTATGATCCTTGCAGAGTTGAACTGTTCTTCTGTTGATGGCTAATGACTGTTCTTTTCAAAGAGTAAATGAATGGATTCTGATGCTTCAAATGGATTCAGGCTCATCAAGGAGCTAATCCACATATCAGACAGCTGTGATTTAATACATACTCAAAACACACCTGAAATGAAAGCTAAGCTCTCAATGTTTGGGCCAGTACATACCCTTTATATTGTAGTCATGCTAGAAATCTACACTAGCAGAAAACTGTGGTACTTAGAAAACGATGACATCTTTTAAGACCATATTTAGTTACCTGGGCACAATAAAAAAAAGACCAATACAACAGTCTTCTCACAAACAAGTCTTTGTAGGTAGTAAATTATCTTACCAATTTTCTGTAGTGCTATAATTGTTCTAACTTGATAATTTAATTAGGCAATAATATTTCATTTGGCTCCCTCCAGGATAGGAAATTCTTACCTAGAGAATACTTCTTTTCCTGGTTCTAGGGTTGCCAGATAGAAAGCACCATTTTCTGCATTTATCTAAACCATGGGATAGCCATCAGCATCACTGCCCTCCAGGTTAATGAAGATACTTGAGAAACTTGTTTTCCACAGAAGTAAATATTTCTATATAAAGCATTTTGGGGAAAGTGTGTAGGTGATACTTTTGGATTTCTAATAATCACACTAACAGCAGCAAGAAATGACTAGCTCATGAAACCAAATGGAAATATTCAGAAGGTTGTCTAGAATGGGGCAGATCTATGGATGAGAAATACTTTTATGAAGTCTGCTGGTACTAGAATAATTATTTCTCAAAGATACAAAGAAAACACAACAGAAAATAACTACTTCTTTCCATTTAGGTTAGACTCTTTTCCTATTTTAAATCTTGATTTCTCACCCAAAACACATCACAAATTAGGTAGATATGAGTTCTCCTTCAGTGGCTAGGTCAGACTGGCAAACTCAAGACCTATGTATTTCTCTAGAAAATGAGATACCTGAATCCCATCCCAGTTGCTTCACACTTTCCTTTATGTATCCTTTTCAGCAACAACTCAAGATTCTTGTTCAATGTATAGGATTTGAATACCTCCTTAATAATATTTATTTATTGTTTGAGACAGTCTTGCTCTATCAACCAGGCTGGAGTGCAGTGGTGTCATTATAGCTCATAGCAACCTCAAACTCCTGGGCTCAAGTGATCTTCTTGCCTCAGCCTCTCTAGTAGCTGGGCCTATAGGCACACACCACCATGCCCAGCTAGTATTTCTACTTTTTATTGAGACAGGGTCTTGCTCTTGCTCAGGCTAGTTTCGAACTCCTGAGCTTGAGCAATCCGCCCGTCTCGGCCTCCCAGAGTGCTAGGATTACAGGCGTGAGCCACTGAGCCCGGCCATATATTTAAATTAAATATTTTAGCCTAATAATAAAAGTTAGCAATTTTTCTAAATGTGCAGATTTAAAGAAATCAACATAGTATACATTTACATTGAAAGCACAAAGTGTTAAATACATTAAATTAAATACATTAAGTCTAACAACTGAAGATTATACCTGTGCAAATTGTTACAGCACAGTGTGCTGCTACGTATCAGTGCATGTAATAAAGTCAATACTCCCTCTAATAGGCTTGTAAGTTACAAAATGAATCTCTGTAATCTTCAACTTCATAACTTTCTGAATTTTAAGTGAACTTAAATTGGCTAAAAGCAAATTATGTTCCTTTTCTTTCTTTCTTTTTTTTTTTGAGACAGAGTCTCATTCTGTTACCTGGGCTAAAGTGCCATGGCATCAGCCTAGCTCACAGCAACCTCAAACTCCTGGGCTCAAGGGATCCTACTGCCTCAGCCTCCCAAGTAGCTGAGACTACAGGCATGTGCCACCATGCCTGGCTAATATTTTTCTATATATTTTCTATATATCTTGTTCTTGCTCAGTCTGGTTTCGAACTCCTGAGTTCAAACAATCCACCCGCCTTGGCCTCCCAGAGTGCTAGGATTACAGGCGTGAGCCACTGCACCCGACCTACTAAAAGCAAACTGGACAGTAACGAATAAGGCCAAGACATGTGCAAGATAGGTTTTTCCTTCAAAACTGTGATAGAACTGAAAGCTACTAAAGCCTTAAAGTGAAATCATACCTGCTGAATGGGACTCTGTGCCTGAAACAATATTCTTCGTCCAAGTAGTTCTGCAAAGATACATCCAACAGACCAGATGTCAATAGCATTGCTGTAATGACGGCTGCCCATCAGGATTTCCGGAGCCCGATAATACTGAGTAACAACTTCCTGAGTCATATGACGGGATTCATCTAATTCTTCCACTCTGGCCAATCCAAAATCACAAATCTAAATAGAAAAGACAATCAAAATATTGTCAAGTAGACAAATACATTTTCAAACAAAACCTTCATAGACCTCTAAACTTTTAAAAGTTTTTAATGATACCGGTAGAGTAGATTTGTGTCAACAGACAATCTGGTCTTATCTGGTTGAGAAGGAAGAAAGTCTCAAGCTTCCATATAAAGTTCTATGTAAAATGATGAATCTTAAAAATATTCTTCTCATCTTTATAAATGAAAATGTCTGTTTTTGAATAACTGAACTAAAAACACTAGCTCAATGCATATTTCCATGTTTAATTTAGAAAAAAAAAATTTTTAAGACTGGCTTTTAGAGGAAGATATTATAAGATAAAAGAGGTGTACCTTGAAGATCGCCTGAGCTGAAACTATTGAAATATATATAGTAAAATTTCTTTAAAGCTATGGGTTTCAAACTGAGTCCTACTGAATCTAGTTCTGACAAACTACTTTAGGAGTTCCATAAACATTTTATTCAAACTTCACATTATCTATTTATTTAAAATACTAATTCACACTCCACTGTGTGAATATGTTAAATTGTAGCACATTGGAGAATATTAATACTACTAAGTCCATTGATTTCTTCATACTATAGATATTTAATTGAGTACCTATTATATTTCAGACAGTATGCTAGACAGAATTTGGAGACACAGCAATAAATAAGAAAGACTGGCTAATTTCTATACAGACCTAGGAATAAATCTTTTTTATTTCTGTTTAACTGAAAAGTATGCTGAGCTTGCAAGATGAGCTATTAATAAAACTACTGCTTATCTCTAGGAATTAAGATTTTCTTGATATTCGGCAACCAAAACACAAAAAACTGGGAGCACTAAGGATGAGATCAGTAATGGCCATTTAAAATTAGATAGTAATGGCCATCTAAAATCCAGTGGTCTCACTAATTAACTTTACAAGTCAATATTGTAAGTGATGAAATAACATTATAAATCTGTTTTCTAAATTGAGGTTCCAAAATAAGATTTTATTTGAAAAAAGGTTTTGGCAGCTTTAAAAAAGTCTGAAAACCACTGTTTTAAAGAAAACAAAATTTATCCCAATTTTTGGCAATCCCTTCTTTCTGACTTGAATCTGCCATGTCTGGTCACATCAAATGAATTTATATGTATATGTGGGAATAAATCAGTATGAAGCCAACATCTTTAAAACTTAAAAATAGGGGAAAAATTTTCAGACCACACAGAAAAACAATGTAACAACAAAACAAAAGTCTGAGTTCATCAAATCCTCTCAAAGGCTGATGTTCAAGTAACATTTTAAAAACTCTATTTCTTGGCTGTGACTCTTCAGGATATCTTTTTTTTTTTTTTTTTTTGAGACAGAGTCTTGCTCTGTTGCCTAGGATAGAGTGCCATGGCATCAGCCTAGCTCACTCACAGCAACCTCAAACTCCTGGCCTCAAGTGATCCTTCTGCCTCACCCTCCCGAGTAGCTGGGACTACAGGCATGCGCCACCATGCCCGGCTAATTTTTTCTATATATTTTTAGTTGTTCAGCTAATTTCTTTCTATTTTTAGTAGAGACAGGGTCTTGCTCTTGCTCAGGCTAGTCTCAAACTCCTGACCTTGAGCAATCCTCCCACCTTAGCCTCCCAGAGTGCTAGGATTACAGGCATGAGCCACTGCGCCCGGCCCAGGATTATCTTTTAAAGCAAAACCAAACCAAAGGAAAGAACTTAGATTCTTTCTTGCATTTATATGAAGAAAACTGACCACTCATCTAACAAAAAAGGTCTTGTGTTATAAAGGAAATCTATTGTTAAAAACATTAGTCCGAGCTGAAGTTGTTTTTAGCAACTTATCAGGAAGATAATCTGAGCCCAAAGTAAAAAGCTTACATGATCAGATAACTAAAAAGAATCCAGCAAAATTATATGTCTTGTGCTTAATAGGAAGTATATTCACAATATGAATACTAATTAAAAAATGTTTTATTATAAATATCATCAATGAATTTGTACATTTGAGAAGAGAGAATTAGTGTCTGTATCCTAGCTGTCTATTCTGGCTTTTCAAAAGCAGATCTCTGAGTCAAAGGAGCAGAGCAAATTTTCAATTTGTTCTAATTTGTGTGTTGTGTATTCATAAATGACATTTTCTTTTAGTTGCCCATTCGTGTAGCCAGAGGTGACAATACCATAATAGACAATTTGGAAAATGAATTTCAGCAGTTAATGGCATTAAGCATGATAGGTTCTGTACAAAAGTCCTTTGTGAAGTCTTCCAACCAAAAATCAAAATAAGAAAAATTGGCTTAAATTTACACAAGACTGATTTGGTATGAACAGTACAAAAAATTACTAACTGTAAGGTTTTAAAATTTTTTTAAAAAAAGTTAAAATGGGTTTTGGGGATACGTTGCAAGTTCTCCTTAAAAAGTGAAAAAGTAGTAGAAGGATGTACTCAATGACCTATAGAAGGAATATTTACTAGACTCTGGGGACAGTTAACTTCTCTGTGGAAACAAAAGACTGAACTACAATATCAGCTATTTTCAGGGAAAATATGAAAAACAGGTTTTTTTCTTTATTTTTTTTATTTTATTTTATTTTTTTTTTGTTTTTTTTTTATAAACTCTACTTGTGTGGAGAAAAACAGGTTTTTATCTTTCTATAGTTAAAACAGGGTGAGGGCTCTTTAAAGTTATATCATGAAGAGAGAATTTTCATTCATAAATGGTATAATCTACCAGCTTTTAAAGAGAATTGGCCCACAGTTCAAAAAAGCATTTAAAATAAAATATGAATATACTTAGCTTTAATACTTAGTTTAACTGCCAGCAACCTAAGTAATAATGACAGTCGTGATTACTTTTAAAGTAGGTAACATTTAAAAAACAGTTTTTTCTTTCCAAATATATGAGTTGAAATGTTTACTATAGACTAAAGCTCTATATAATATAGCAGCCACTCATGAAATAAGTGGAATTTTTATTTGCTTACACACAGATGACACAGCTCTGGGAAAGCTCTTATCTCTTATGTCTACCACGAGGAAAAACACCGTAGACCTCTCACTATTCAGAAGTTCTGCCAATACGTATCTGTGTTAGAAGTGAGAAAATGCACACATGTGGATTTTGCGATTTGTGAGCCACTCTAACAAAAGACAATGGGGGGTGATACAAGGGAAAGAAGTAAAATTGAAACTGATAACTTGAGATTTTGGAACTACTAAATATAAGTAATCCTGTAATCAATTCCTGTTCAGAGGAATAACTGAGGATTGGCTACTATATATTGTGGAAATACATTTCATAGGTGCATATACCCTTTTCTGGCTTAGCATTTTCATTTTTAAGTAGGTTTTTGCTTCCTCCTTTGCTACCTTAGTCAAACAATATATAGAAATATTAACTGTGGGCCAGGCATGGTGGCTCATGCCTGTAATTCTAGCATACTGGGAGGCCAAGACAGGAGGATTGCTTGAGCTCAGGAGTTCGATATCATCCTAAGCAAGAGTAAGACTCTCATCTCTACTAAAAAAAAAAAAAAAAAGAAAGAAATATTAACTATGCAAAAATGTAGACAGTCTTCGTAAAAGCCATGTTTCATTCTCACCTAAATAGAAGCTTGCTGATCTGCTATTTCTTCTGATATACATTTCCTTCAATAATGGAGCAATCTGAAAAGCCACCTTCTCCATTCTTCTTTCTAGTTATAATGTAACTAGAAATTCAGTGTTTCCAAAACATAGGCAAAATATCATGAAAAGAGCATGAGGCAGGAGTACAAATTAGTTACTATGGCCATGACCAGTGATATTGCTAGTGAAAACTGGGTACTTTTTTTTTTTAATGAAGGAATGACACTCTAGAAACTGAGTACTTTAACTTTCAGTAATGAAAATAAACAACTATTTCTTCCACAAAAATATGTTGTTCTTAAGCCTGCCCTGACATTCTTATTTCTCTCAGAAATTTACATAAACTGAAAAGCTACCTTTAGAACACAGTTGCTGTTCACAAGGAGATTCCCTGGCTTAATGTCTCGATGTAAAATGCCAGCTGAATGGAGATATTTCAAACCTGAAATAACAAAGAGATTAATTGTAGATATTTAATTCCTTTTACTCAACCAATGATTTGGGAAAAACCTTAGAAGAAAATAAAATAGAGGATTTAAAATTTTTTCCTAAATAACTGCATAATAGACATTATTAAAAACTTGACTTATACCTCAAAAGCCTATAATTTGGGTACAGTAAAATAAAATGTCATCAAAGGTTTGCAGTCTAGAGATAACATCTATAATTCAAAAGATTATATAGGTTTAATTACAGATATGCCTCTTAGGCACTAGAGTTAACACTGACCACACTAATATCCTTAGATTGTGCATCAGTGTGGCTACTAGAGTTCTGCTGCTGATACTCTTAACCTGCAACTCTGAACCTGCTCCAACAAAACAGTTCCCATTAACTAACCAACAGGGAGCCTTTCCCAGTTCATATTTTTCACCAATATGACAAAATTCAGGAACTTGGCCAGGTTAGTCAGTAGTATTCATTACTGAGAATCAAGAGGGTAATTCATCAATTTTTAAAAATTTCTGACATATTAAAAGACTGATGGCTTCAGCACTGCTAAAAGTAGCAGCCTCAAGGTTGAGTCTTTTTGGAATAAAATGTAGCAAATCACATTTTTCACATTTATAGACAGTATCTTTGCCATTTATTCCTGCCACAGAATATCAAAAGATTTCTGGATGGAGGTGAACTTTCTAGTTTTAATATTGTTTGTATGTTTTAATCCCTGTGGCAGATGTTTTTCAAACTCTATAAAGAATCTGTTAATTCTATATATTCTGTGGGGAAAAAAGAATTTTACTAGGTAAGAAAGCTGTTTCAACTTTAAATAATTCTCCATTTGTAATGGCCAAGTTCTGGAGGACACACCTGATGGCCAGAAGAGGCATCAATAACGTTGGCCTCAATCCTTTCTCAGTCAAGTCCATGCTCTTTAATGAGCCAGTCTTAAGTTACTTAGCTGGCTGTTTCTATAGGTCTTCGTCAACTTTGTTTTTAAGGGTCATTTTGTTTCTCTAGAGTTGCACTCAGGAATGCCAGCTAACACCCTGACAGGCCCACCCACTGCTGGCTTGCAGGATGGATGTTATTCAGAGGTGATACAGTCACTTTTCACTTTAGTCATCTGATGCGACATACTCCTACTCTGTGGAGAACTAAAGACTGTTTAGTGGATTTGTGACAAACAATCCTGCTTATTTACCTCCCTAGATTAACCCACTCAATTACTTAATTTGCAGGGCCTTGTCTTCCATCACTAAAAATAAAAATAAAAACTGTTCGGCCTCTCTTAAAAGCCTCTTATTTAACATCAAATATAGAAATTGTAAAATATGCCTTGTTCAAAAGAAAAAAGTCGGCCGGGCGCAGTGGCTCACGCCTGTAATCCCAATACTCTGGGAGGCCCAGGCGGGCGGATTGCTCGAGGTCAGGAGTTCAAAACCACCCTGAGCAAGAGCGAGACCCCGTCTCTACTATAAATACAAAGAAATTAATTGGCCAACTAATATATAGAAAAAATTAGCTGGGCATGGTGGCGCATGCCTGTAGTCCCAGCTCCTCGGGAGGCTGAGGCAGTAGGATTGCTTGAGCCCAGGAGTTTGAGGTTGCTGTGAGCTAGGCTGACGCCACGGCACTCACTCTAGCCTGGCCAACAAAGTGAGACTCTGTCTCTCAAAAAAAAAAAAAGTCTTTAGGGACGAAGAAAGCCTTGAAAAGTCAGATTAAAGTCCAAATGAGAAGTAAAACATTTTATTTAAATAGTGACAGTGCCTTTTTCTTCATAAAGAAAATCTTACCTCGCAAAATCTGATAAAGAAAAACTTTGACATGATCTGAGCTGAGTGGTTGAGGAGAGACAATAATTTTATGTAGGTCACTCTGCATCAATTCTGTGACAACATATCTTGAGGTTTTAAGTTAAGGAGAGTTCAAAGAATTCAGCCCCCAACCCCTTCAAAGTAGTTATCAAATCTAAAGAATAACATCCATTCTCAAAGCTAGAAAAGTTTAGGGAAAGAAAGCTCTTAGACAGCATTATAAAGGTGGGAATTCCAGCGCTCACGAGATAAAACATTGCTAAAATTAAAAGAATTTATACATTTAAAAGTCAGCAGAAGTAAACAACCAAATGATTTTCTTATAATCAGCATTATAAAAGAGAAAACCAAAGGCAAACATTTTAAATAACAGCCAAGCCATGAAAAGTGTGAAGACCAAGGCCAGGTGCGGTGGCTCACACCTGTAATCCTAGCACTCTGGGAGGCCAAGGCGGGTAGATTGCTGGAGGTCAGAAGTTTGAAAATAGCCTGAGCAAGAGCGAGACCCCATCTCTACTATAAATACAAAGAAATTAATTGGCCAACTAATATTTATAGAAAAAATTATCCGGGCCTAGTGGCGCATGCCTGTAATCCCAGCTACTCGGGAGGCTGAGGCAGTCGGATTGCTTGAGCCCAGGAGTCTGAGGTTGCTGTGAGCTAGGCTGACACCACCGCACTCACTCTAGCCTGGGCAACAATGTGAGATTCTGTCTCAAAAAAAAAAAAGTGTGAAGACCAAACAGTCCCGAGGCCTACTCAGACATGTTACTGCAGTGTCCTTTGAGTTCATACAAAAGGTGGTTGGTGATCTCATTGTAGGTCATTGAGGCACCAATGGAAAAGATCACAACCTATCCAACAACTGTGGCTTAAGTTACTTTCTAAAATAAGGTATTCCTAAAACATGTAAAATGGTAAATTCAAATCCAAGTCTCTCTACAATCTTAACAATTATTTAACTTAGTATACATTTATTAAATCCCTTACTAGGTTTTAAGATTATTATACTTTGTACTCTTTTGTATCCTCAGAGTTTTGCTCAATCAATACATGGCAAATGTTCAAAGGCTGGAGCCTGGGGAACCATGGAGATGTAGAATTCAGAACTCTTGCAAAGCACATGAATGTTAGAAACATTAAGGAATCAAAAATTCAGGTGAATTTTATGATTTAAGTATAACATTACTCATGACAATTTCTAATTTAATGTTTCAGCAAAAACAAGTAAGAGGCCGGGCACAGTGGCTCACGCCTATAATCCTAGCACTCTGGGAGGCCGAGGCGGGCGGATTGCTCGAGCTCAGGAGTTCGAAACCAGCCTGAGCTAGAGCAAGACCCCGTCTCTACTATAAATAGAAAGAAATTGGCCAACTAATGTATAGAGAAAAAACATTAGCCAGGCATGGTGGCACATGCCTGTAGTCCCAGCTACTCAGGAGGCTGAGGCAGGAGGATTGCTTGAGCCCAGGAGTTTGAGGTTGCTGTGAGCTAGGCTGACGCCACGGCACTCACTCTAGCCTGGGCAACAAAGTGAGACTCAACAAAGTGAGACTGTGTCTCAAAAAAAAAACAAAAACAACAAACAAATAACAAAAAAAAAAAAAACAAGCAGGAAAGGGGACAATTTAGGGGTAGGGAGGAGAATTAATAAAGATTGCATTTGACATAAACAATTGAAAACTCTGAGATTTTTTTTTACAAATGGCTTTAGGGTACTAAACTATAGGGTTTCCTTCTCCCTCATTAGTTGTTCTTTCTTAGTCTCCTGGTTTTCCTTTCTTTTTCAACCACTTAACGTTGAAATGACCCAAGGTTTTGTTCTTGGTCCTCTTCTCTCTCCATACTTACACTCTTGGGTATTTGGATCTAGTTCTATGCCTTTAAATAACACCCATACTGATGACTCCCAAATTTGTAATCTCTAATCTTTCCTTAAGTGCAGATTTGTATATCACACTGCTTACTCATCATCTCCATTCGATGCCTAATTGATATTTCAAACTAACATGTCCCAAACTGTATTTTCGCTCTTTTCTCCACCACTTTTTTAGCTGCAAGCTTTCCCATAGCAAATCCATTTTTCTAGCAAGTTGCTCACACCAAAAACCACATCAAGGAGTCATTGATTCTTCTCCTTCTCGCTCACCATACCTCCAATTCATCACAAAATCCTGTGAGTTCTGCCTTCAAAATTTAGTCAAATTAGGCCACTTCTTATGCCCACTGTTACCATGTTGGCCCAAGACTGCTAGATTTCTAAAACACAGCAACTAGGATAAATTTTTTACTATTATATTTTTGTTTTGCCCATATATTGAGATTTATTCTATTATATAGAAAATATAATTTTAAAGGTTTTACACTCCTAGATGTTTTAATCTTAGGTTTTATCATCCAGATCCTTTCCAAAGAAATATAATCTACTTAATAATGAAAGTTAGTGAGAAAATGAGATTTGGCATGTATAATTTCCTTATAGGACAGTTTTCAGTGACATGTTAGAATTATTCTATAAAATGATAAACAGTTAAATTATGATATTACTGGGGCTATATTTAGTTTTTCTTCTTAATAGTTTTTATTCAACTTTTTCTTATAAAAATTTTCAAACACACAGAAAATTTGAAAGAATTACATGGAGACTACCCATATATATATATACACCTAACACCTAGATTCTATATTTAACATTCTGCCATATTTGCTTTGTCACACAACTATCCATTCTTTTTCCAACCATTAGTTCATCTAAATTGGATGCATTTCACAGAATCATCTTTTAGGATGAAGGCCAAATTATGTCACTTTTTTGCAAAAGCTTTCCATTTCATTTAAGAGTAAAAGCCAAAATCCTTAAAACAGCTTATAGGTCATAAATCATCTGGACAAGATTCTTCTCTGACCTCCTCTTTTATCACTTTCCTCCTGGCTATTCTCTAAACATGCCAGATACACTCCAATCTTAGGTCTTTGCTCTAGCTAGTCTCTCTGCATGGACTACACTTCCTGACATCTATTTGGCTAACTCTTTCAGCTCCTTTGTGGTTTTACTCAAATCTTATCTTTCAAACGAGGTGTACCTTGACTCTAATACTAGCTTTGTGCCACATAATGACTTTTCAGTCAACAGTCGAACACATGGACAAAGGTGGTCCCATAGGTTATAATGTAGCTGAAAAATTCCTACTGCCTAGTGATGTCTTGATAACCCTGACCCTGTGTAGGCCTGGGCTGATGCATGTGTTTGTGTCTTAGATTTTAAAAAAACATTTTTAAAAAAACTAAAAAAATTTACATAGAAAAAACTTATAGAACAAGGACATTAAGAAAACATTTTTGTACAGCTGTACAATGTATTTTAAGGTGTTATCATAAGAGTAAAAGTGTCAAAATTAAAAGTTTAGACAGTAAAAAAGTTACAGTAAGCTAATTTATTATTGAAGAAAAAAATTTTAAATAAATTTAGTGTAGCCTAAGTGTATAGTGTTTATATAGTCCACAGTAGTGTACACCTAGGCCTTCACATTCACTCCCCACTCACTGACTCACCCAGAGCAACTTCCAGTCCTGCAAGCTCCATTCATGGTTAAGTGCCCTACACAGATGTATCATTTTTATCTTTTATAACATATTATTAGTATTCAAAAACCTTCATTGTAGAAAATAGGAAATACGAAGAAGCCAAAGAATATAAAAACTACCCAAATTCTGTTTTTTTTTTTTTTTTTGACAGAATCTCCTTCTATCACCTGATGCAGTGGCCTGATCATGGCTCACTGCAGCCTCAAACTCCTGGGCTCAAGTGATCCTCCTGGCTCAGCCTCCCAGGTAGCTAGGTTTGCAGGTGCATGTCACCATGCCCACCTAATTTTTTTATTTTTTGTAGAGATGGGGTCTTGCTCTGTTGCTCAGGCTGGTCTTGAACTCCTGGACTCAAGCTATCCTCCTGCCTCTGCTTCCCAAAGTGCTAGGATACAGATGTGAGCCACGGTGCCTAGCCCAGATTCTACCTCTTTGAATTAATTTATAACATTTTGATGAAAATAATGTGTATGTCTACATATATGCATATTTAATATAAAATTGGGATTATAATATACACGTGGCTTTGTTGCCTTTTCCCTTAATAAAATATAAGCATGTAAACAAAAAATAAGCATGGAAACTATCATTTAATGATTTAATAAAGCAGGGTTTTTATAACGTGATAATGCCTTAATGGTGATAGGATTATAATTCATTATATATATATATATATTATATATTTTTTTTTTTGAGATGAAGTCTCACTTTGTTGCCTGGGCTAGAGCACTGTGGTCAGCTAGCTCACGCAACCTCAAACTCCTGGGCTAAAGCAATCCTTCTGCCTCAGCCTCTTAAGTAGCTGACTACAGCATGCGCCACCATGCCCGCTAATTTTTTCTATTACATATTTTTTTTAGTGTCCAGCTAATTTCTTTCTATTTTTAGTAGAGGATGATCTTGCTCTTGCTCAGGCTGGTCTAGAACTCCTAAGCTCAAACGATCACCTGGCTAAGCCTCCCAGAGTGCTAGGATTACAGGCATGAGCCACCTCGCCTGGCACACTTATATATATGTTATAATTCTCCTTGTTGAAATCTAAGCTATTTCTCATTTTTAAAATTATTTTAAATATCCTTGAGATAAACATACTATACATACAGCTTTGTGATCTGATTGTTTCCTAATGATAGATTCTTTGAAGTGCATTATGGTGTCAAAGTAGGATATCATATACAGATGGCCCAGTTACAGATGAGATATGAAATCGCTCCTGAGAACATCTTTGAGTTGGATTGTATATAACTCGGATACATGATGAACGTGCATATATGGTAATAATAACATCAATGGCGTCATGTGGTAATATAATACAGTATGATAGTATAATAATACCACACCTGGTTGTAATATGTTATAGAAACATTGTGCTCTTTCTTTTAATTCAAACGAACATAAAAAAACAAATCACTCAAAAGTTTAGATAGGAGACAGGCGAATTTAAAAAAGAATATTGAAGGTTAACACTCACCTTATATTGTATAAACACTAGACTAGTAGG